CCCCAAAACCCCAAAACCCCAATAAGTCAAATACTTATTAATATTCAAGTTATTAAAGAAATAAATCTGCTTAAGTTATATATAAAATTCAAATAACAATTTATCTTTTACTTTTTTAATACTTCTTTTTACTCGTAGTACTCTTTTCCATTCTCGCAACGATTCTTGCTGGATCTCGAACACCCGATTTATACTCTTAAGTAATAAACTTTGATTCTTCAATCATTTGTTACTTATCAAGTTTCTTATATTAATATATAGTTGAGATTACATTTGCTTCTATACCTTCTAACCCCTTGAGATCATCTACCAGATTATCAAAACTCTCATTTAGCTATTCCACTCTATCTCTTTCAACTTAAAGTTCATTTAGATTTTTATGCATTTTAAAACTCAGATCAAGGCAGTTCCTTTACAAATTATCTAGCTTTCTTTATGCCTCAGATCTCACTTGAGGTTTTATATCTGTCTCTCTTATCCTTCTTAATGAATTTTCTTTTTCAATTAGCAAAGGCTTCAGTTATAACTTCTTTACGTATTTACTTTGGGGAATTACCTCATCCTTATATTCATTCCCTAATACTTAATTATATAACTTCTGTTGGTAAGTCTTTTTTTCTTTAGGGGACGCCAATCTTTCAAGATTATACAATTAAGCTTGCTAAGTTTAAAAGAACGTCCTATTTGACATATTTCTAGTTCTATCATGAAGCTTATTGTACAAAATATTTTAATAGTATTCATGAGTTTTTCTCTCAGTTTATTCTTAATTTTTTGCAGGATTGTTTTGAAAACTAGAATTTTGTTTAATTTCTGGAATATGCATAGTTTAATTCATTATTGTTATATTGTTGTGTTAAAGTTCTCAATTAGCGCTTAAAAAGTGCTTATGATTCGGCTGTTTGAGTGATTTTACCTCTAGATTTTTGTAAGTATTTTAATAAGTGAGGTTATTCTAATCATCTTTCAGTTTAAGCCTCATAGAAGAATTTCCATCTAAGCTAAAATCTCAAGTTTAATTGGCCATTTTGATGACTTTGCTGATTGAGTTTCTCCTTCTTAACAAGAAAGATTTCCTTTTTCTAAGTATATCTTCTTTGATCTCTTAATCAAGACGATCGATCGCTTTTTGAAGTAAATTCCTATATTCATCTTTGCTTAGAGCTTGAGTTACTTTTTGTTTATCTTTAACCTCTACTTCTAATTCTCTTTCTTAAAATCTATTATCTTTATACTTATTTTGCACACTAAATTGATCATATCTATATGTATCCTCCTATTCATAATTCTCATCTGAGTCTGTAAATTAATATGATTTAGAATCAGTCATATTTTCATCAAAACTTCTTTGATTATTGCCATCCTTGCTTTTCTATTAAGAGCTTGCTTTTAAATTTATAATATTTCTTCTTATTGGCCTTCCTTCAGCGAGATTCCTGAGTATATTTTCATACTAAACCTGGCTAAGATTTTCAAAATACTTTTGCTTATTTAGAAGTCTTTATAGGAAATCACCTTTTTTATGCAAGAAAAAAGCTACTGGCTCTTATGCAAATTTTTAAATCTTCTGCTTAAGGTCAAGCTTATCACTTATGTTGAGATAATAATTGCCCTTGAGTATCTCCTGCTGTTATCTCTGTTAATCTAATTATAGTGCTTAATTTGTAAGTTTTGCTACTCTATTTGCCTGTTCATCCTTCTTATCCTATCTAAACTGATTATATACCTAGTTTTCAATTTCCGACATTCTCTAAACCGCTAACTCATAAAGGAGTGGATCAGTAACACTCCAATTCATTTTCTAATTGATAGATTTGTATTAACCAATTTTGCCATTTAGCTGTTTAATTTGACGTTACTTTATTTATTACAGCTCACCCTCTTTTTACTCGATGTTAAAATGATAGATCTGATCGAAGATTTCAAACATCCTTGGTTGATTAGGGTTAGAATTTATTGGTTACTATTTTAATTAATCCTTTAAATCCGATAATGTTGTAGTTTTTACCGTTTCTTATGATTACTTTGATTTTAGAATTTTTCTAGTTTGTTATTTTTTACTCTATCGTCTTGAAAATTAAACATGTTTCTGTGCTAAGGCTTAATGCTGATTTTGAAATGAAAGATTCTGCTGTTTGAATGTAGATACATTAAGCTGACTATTCATTCGAACTCGCCCTGGGTTATCCAACAGTGAACCTCTGTTCGAGATTGAATTCAGATTTGATTATGTCTATACTTTGAGCATTTACATATAAAATGGATTAATCTCAACTAATAATATAATATGAGTTAATTTTAATATTTAGAAGATATTTGGGAAATTTATTAATTATTCTATCATTGTTCTATAATCTGCTGACTTATAAAGATTTAAAAGATATTATATTAAGGTTATAATAATTATTCGGTCAACTTGGACCGAAATGCTTAATGAATGATAGTGAATAATTTGAATAAATCAATCAAGCAAATCCAAAATAAAGCTAACTTTTTTATCTGACTAATTCTCTCTAATTCTTTGTAAATGCTTTGAGTATGCTTTTGGCTAGAGAAGATGCTTCTTAAATTAATCTAATTATCTAAATTTCTATACATATTCTATTATTTTTGGAGCATGTTATTCAATGTCAAGTTTATAGTATGTATCTTCCCAGGGTGAGTCCTTGAGAAAGACAATGCGCTCAAAATAAGGCAAAAGATAGATATCAGCCATTGATGGATGTTAGGAGCCTAGAATCCAATTCTGATTTGCATGTTTATTCTCAACCAATAATTCCTCAAGTTCCACTATAATTTGGCTAAAATGACTATTAAAAGACTCTCTTTATCCCTTAGATGATAGAAATGCTATAAGATCTTTTTCATAGATGCTAGCAAATTCAATAATGAATCTCTATTTGGCAGCTTCAATCGAGTTTTTGGAGTATAGATGTGTTGAAGATTGTTCCTTATTCTAAGAATTTCCCAAATCATTAGCTAATTCCATAAGCACCCTTGATTCATGAATCATAGTACCATCTTAAAGTTCCATCAAAGGGATATATCCTCCATCAGCATCTAAATGCCATTAAGCTTTATTGCTCATATCCACCTCTACATTTTAAAAGTCAACATTCTTTGCTGCAAAGGCTAAACGTACTCTTTCAGAAAACAAGCAGATATTATGTCCATATAGCCTTGGATAATTTAAATTAGTTTGAGGCTTTTCTGATTCAGGACCACCTTAGTAATAAATTGTTTCATTTGTCTAAGAAATATCTATCGGCAAGTTATTACTCTTTTACTCCTTCTTATTTTAAGACTTAGCAGTATCTGCAAAACTTCTTTGAGATACCTTTAATGACTACTTTAGGAAAGATTTATTAGCGAAAATCTATGAGCGAGAAGAAAATAACAATTTTATCATAAATTTAATTTGTTTAATCTTAAGATTATCAAATGATTTGCCTTTTGGGGTTTTGGGGTTTTGGGGTTTTGGGG